CCCCAAAACCCCAAAACCCCAAAACCCCAAAACCCCTATCAACTCAAACAATTTCACAAATTAAAATGTCCCTAATTTCCCCTCCTACCCCCAAAACTCCCTTCTAAACCCTCCTTTCCCCTCTCCTCCTCCCATACTCCTTGGCCTTCTCCTTCACATACCTATCTCTCCACCCCATATCCCAGTACTTTCCCCCCAGCTCCTCCTGTATCTTCCCTTCAGGATACACCTTCTCAAGCCCCTTCGCCCACCTAAGCGATTTCACCAAATCCTCTACATCCTGGTTCGCTCCCTTGACCGTGTCTCTGACCAGGTCAGAGTCAGAGTCATTGTCGTCTTCTTCCGTACGGGAGATTTTGTGCTTGGATAGAAGAGATTTTGGGTCACTTAGGATTTTTTTAGTAGGGAAAATTGGGAATTCACGAAGAGATTTGGGAGATTGGGTGATTCTGGTGGTGCTGGGGATTGGGACTAGGCGGAGGTGGGGAACTGGGGGAGGGTGAACGGGGTGGAGGGGGTATTTGGAGTAGCGTTGGAAGGTGGGCGAGTCTGCAGGGGCGAGAGGGTGGAAAGGGTTTAAGTGGGGGAAGTCAGGGGTGGATTTTTGGGAAGGAGTACGGGATTTTGAGGATTTGGTGGATTTAGTGGAGAGAGGGTCTGGAGTGGGGGAGGGAAGGGATTGGGGTAGGAAGGGGTTTTGGGTCTTGCTGAAGGCTTTTTGGAGTCGTTTTTTGGGGTTTTGGGGAGGGTTTATGGGTTTTGTGGGAGGGTTTATGGGGTGGAGTTTGGGGTAAGCTGCAAGTTTTGGGAGAATGTTGGATAGGAGATTACCTTCGGAATCTCTACGTAACCGGAGTTTTGGTCTTGGTTCATTTCTTCTTCTTCTTCTTAATTTTCAGAAGTATTTATCTAATCATCTAATAGTTCTTATTGCTAAATTTTCTTGCTTCTCTTGTGTCATTAAAATTCACCTTAATAACTCCTTTCTAATCTTTACATGTCATTTATTGAAACCCTGTCTCCCAAGCCCATTCTGCACTTAATTCCCCACCAATCTATTAATATGATAACAGATTAAGAAGATTTGAGATTTTACGAACATTTGATAGACGATATATCCTATAGATTCTAAAAATAATAATAATCTCTCCAATATTCTCCATAATCCCACTCTTAACAACTTCATCTCTACCCCTGCAACCCCTTCCTCCCAGTCCTACACCACAACCCCTTCTAATCCTTCCCAAAGCCCTTTAAGTCCTTTAAGTCCCTTAAAATCCTTACTTTAGAGCGGTTCTCCCCACTACAGTTCTATTCAGTTTTCTTTTTTGTAAGAGGTCTTCAGGTGTGAGGGGATTTTTATGGTTGTTGGTTTGGCAGAATCGAAGGAAGAAAGAGGGGTGGATGGGGAGCTAGTAGGGAGATTTGGGGTTATGTATGATATTGGGTGTGTTTAGAGGAGATTTGGATTGATTAGAAGGGAGATTATGGTATTATTGGTATTTTTAGATAGGAAAATTACATTTATATGTTATTTTTACGATTTAACTATCCAATTCAACAAACTTCCACAACCTCGGGGTTTTGGGGTTTTGGGGTTTTGGGGTTTTGGGG